GAACAGAGGAATGATTATCATTATCATATTCAAGAGCCTGCAAAAGTGAGAGGGAGAGCCACAAGAAAAAATACATGCACTGATCCAGATCTCTTGTACACGCCTAAAATAAATTATACTTTTTTTTCCCTATTATTTAATCAAGAACAAATGGAAAGGCATTTACATCAAGATTTTCCGTAATAACGTTAGTCGATAACGACTCAAAAATAATGAGCTCAAGATTTTTTTCCAAACTGCATTAGCAGCAATTTCCATGGAAGGATAACTCATACACAATGGGGTAGGGGTTTCTCGGGTTATCCAGTATGGTTAAATTTTACGTTTTGTACTCGGAATTCCTAATATTTGACTCGACAAGAAGAATATTCCAGTGTGCGTCCGAAAAAACTTGAATTGACATTCAGTCGCTTTCTCTCGAGATTCTCTTTCTCTTTTTATTTTCCTGTGTCTCATCCTCGCTTCTCTTGCTTTTATTCGTACAGCTTTGAAAAGGCCACGGAAATTTTTTCGAGCTGTAAGTTTTACTTTACAAATTTTTTCCGCTACGGACTGTACATGTTATCATCGTCAATTGGAATTTACTTGTGTTTTATTTCATTTCTAAAAATAACTTTGATGTAGGAGAAAGAAATTTGATGAAATAATTAACTGTTTAATTACACATCATTCATTGGTAATAATCGTATTCATCTATATCCTACTTCTTAACACTCGCGCTTTATTGAATAATATTTTATTTTTAAACCATCAACGACAAATTTTTTAATAAATTTTAGAATTTATTTTGTCTTACGGAACTTAACTTTGATTTGTACGACTAGTTGAATTAAAAATATTAAATTTATCTCATCATCTGAATAAATTTTACGATTATTGTATTACTTTACTGCATTAAGTTATACGTAACGGCTCTACAGCTTATCATTGGAGATTAATATGTTTTTAAATTTGCCAAATTACTATCCCAATCCTTATTGATTACAATAAATTAATACATTGAAATTTCCATCTTATATTTTGTTTCAAGTATCAGAATTAATGGTTGTCTTATCTCCAAAGTTATGAGTTGTGATCACTTCCTCTCGTCAATCCCTAAACCTCAAATTAAAACTAATCCTTCTCAAATAAAAAATGTTAAGTCTGCTACCACCTTAACTTTACTTTTTATGGTAGAATGCCTATTGTAATGTGACAACCTCATTTTTATTCGTCGTGGAAATCATTAATACTGATTATGTGATTTGTTTGGCAGACAAAGTGTTTGAAATATATAATTTGAAAAAAAAAAAAAATGAATTTACTCAATGTAATAAATAAATATAAAGAGAACTAGTGATGATCTTCAAGGTAATGGAAAAATTAGTTCGTGCTTTACGGCTTGGATGAATTTAGCAGTCAATCAAATAAAAAGTATATTTTGCCATATTTAATCCAAGCCAAAATTAATAAGCATACCTATACTCATTTTCCCATCACCACCTTACGAATCATCTAAACTCGTGCATAGTGTACTTGAAAAAATGTATGTCATTAGTTTTTCTTTTCATACTTTTGATTAACATAAATATATTATGTTTAAGTATAAATTTATTTGAGTACGTTGATTGGTAGTATTGATAAAAAAAATTTATGGGAAATTTATGTGCAATAAAAAAAAAAAAAAAAATTAATAGTACTATAATAGTAAAAACGTGCTGAAAATGTCTAGTATTACGTACATTGAAATTTTTTGTTTGTAATTTTTATTTTTTTATCAGAGTTTCCTAGTGTAACACTCAATTTAACGGTTTGCTTCTGCTACTTTTTACTACCTCTGTTATAATTATAAGGGTCATTATTCATTACAACTCTGTTCTTACCCTCATTTCGCATTTTAGGAAGAATCGGAAAAAATATCCGGATAATGGAGCAGTGTTTGTAAGTTGCTCCTGTTATGTCTTATAGAGTAGGTATACATATTAATATAAAAAGAATAGGAAACGGCGCACGTGGCCTTCATTACCGTCATGGCTCGTTCTTATTAACCGCACGCGAGAATTAACGATCTCTCAAAACTGAGTGTTTTTTTATCGTCTGCTGTTTATTTTTTTTTTTTTTTAATATGGGCGTATCTGTTTTGCCTTGTAGAATCATTGTTTTTTAACCAGGTTGTTATCCAAGAAAATGCCAATATTTTGCACGAAACGAATGGACCGGATGAAGTAAAGAATACGCAGGTTTTCCTGTTGTGAATCTTTTTAAAAGGCTGAATGTGATTTTGCGAATAAGTGAAGAAAAATAACGATACATATATCTGCGCGTCACTTACGTCATGGAAATCCAAATGAATTGTTGTATGTAATAGTGCGGTTACTGGGGACACTGGAATAACAAATTTTAAAGCCCCTTAGGTGATTCAGTACATCTTATGTTTTTTCATGCAGTAAATCTTAATTGTTTAGTTATCGAGTAAAATGTACTTTATTTAATACTGATCATCCCTTATTGAGACTCCTATAATTTTGAAAAAAAAGAATCATAAATTGTTGAAAAAAATCGATCGATCGAATTTTGCTACAGCATTTGAAAAATACCGTCAATATATATAAACGCTCCAACGTTTAATATGTAACGTCGTCATTAAAATAAAATGGTAGATATGCTCTATCATAATTTCTATCCCCAGAATACTTCGTAGCTCCGTGTATAGTTGAAAGTCAAAACGAGCGCTCTTGCACGTTCGAGGAATGATATCATAAAATAAAATGGATAGAAATTGTGAAATAAGGGGTACATTAATAGTAATAAATATTTATTAATCGATTTAGTAATTCTTTGACGAAGATCAAGACACAAATGAGCTTGATTGGAAGTTTTACCTTTTTCTTTGATGATTAAAATAAAAAAAGTATTCTAAAATAATTTTTGTTTTTTTCTAATCACACCGAAATAATTCAACTACATAATAGCAAAAATCTAGAAGCGTATAAGTCAAAATATTTTAATTAGTTGAAATAGTTATTTATTACTAAACAACACAATGATTTTTATAATGGACGAGATAACGAGATACTCAAGTCGAGAGAGTTATTACCATGAAGTCATCTTGCACTCGAAATACATCAAAGTGGTCAACTTCTTGTATGAATTTCCTTATCTCATGATATAATTACTGCAAAAAAATAACTGCCAAAAATACTTATTGATGTGATCTATGCAATTTTTATAACTCAATGAAATGCTTTAAATCCCTTGAAATTTTGCGTATATTACTATAACAGAACATCAAAGTTCGTAACGTTGATAGATAAAATAAGATGGTGCATTCGAAATGGCACTTAGCTGCAAACCACGTAGCTGCTAAGGTCAAAAAACACATAAAGCCTCATCTCTTTTTCTTCACGATTGGTTTGGAGTTTGGAGACCGCATAAATATGGATACATGTCATGCGTATAATATGTACACACACAAACGTGTGTGCGCAAGTGTATGTAGGGATACGTTTCAACTGTTTGAAAGATTTTTCTTTGTTGCACCGGAATTTTTGACTTTTCAAACGTATCCTGAGTAGTAGATCAGTGGAAATTTATTTTTTACGCTTCAAGTAAAAAACATAAAAATAATGAATTTCTACTATCAAAAGAGCCCCAGCATAGAGTAGAGAGGCAAAAATAGAAATATACACGTGTCTTCGTAATACGATAAATATGCATTATGAAACTATTCAGTTATTTTGAACTATGAGAAAAATAATGATGAGTTAAGCTGAGATATAAAAGAACTAACGCATACTTGTCATAAAATCTGTTATCAACCAGCGAAGCTTCTTGTGAACATTTTTTAAATTACAACTCCGTTCAAAACATATTTTGCACTTTAATTCGACATTTTAGATGTGAGCTGTATTAGAACAAATGAAAGTCATTATCCAAAAAACCCAAGCGTTAAAAATATATTCAGCGATAAGCTTTCCGCTAATCTGCAATACCGAAAGAGCACGTACATGTATTCTGAATTTTTTTTAGAAATGATACACCCGGATACACCATGTACTGTTAAACACGGATGAAAAAATCTGTTAAAAAAGTAGAGCTACAATTTTTAAAGAGGGCATTAACCATCAGTATAACGTTATGTTGAAATTATCTGAAAAAAAAATTCCTTATTTTTATCTGGGTAAAAAACACTAAATGCTACGGAGTTCTCAAGTAGTCAATCATCGAGGAGCTGATACTTGTAATTATAAAGAAAATACCTTTCCGCTGACATCTTACCAACGAGTAACTTCTTTGTCTTCTCTCTTTTTCTAAAACACAGTGATGAACAGGTGCTATTGTCAGGAGCCATTTTTATTTAATAAGTGACTAGATATAAGTATAATGCTGTAAGGAGCGTGTATATCTGTAAGGCTTGTATTCCTTAATTTTAAACCTATCAACCAAATTGTAATAGTGGTACCACAAATACCAAGTTTGGGTACCTATATGAAAACAAGACAAGAATCTTCTATTTTACTTTATTGTAAAGGTATTTTGTCCCGTAAGGTAATTCATAGAAGTGATACCGTAATAAGTTATACAAAAGTATTTTATTGATATTTTTAGAGCATTTTTATAAAAAAAAAAAAAAAAGCAATTAAAATTTTTAATTCGTCAATGCTACAGGTACAAATACTTATTTGGAAAAAAATGATGACGATTTCGTAAACGAAGCCTTCAACTTTTCGTTTTTTCTCTTGGTTGCAGCGTATTATTTATTTTCTTACGATAGCGACACATTACTCTTTGTTTTTTACATAATTTTTGTTGTAACATAAAACGTTGATTCATATGATTATTCCTGAAAGAAGTAGTTTTTCAACTTGCATACATAGTAATTTATTTGAAAAACAAGTTCACATTCATTGTTACGTTTTTCATCGATTGCTTTGTATTTTTCATTGTCACGATGAATATGATACCACATTATGACTAAAGATACAATAGTCTTGTTTACTGTAAATCTCTCTAATACTTACTCAGTTTGTTTATAAAAGACATTTCTCTGATACTCACAGCAACCAGTGAATGATGAGCATTTAAAAAATAACTAAATTGATCTCTTACGAACTATTTCACTGACTAAAAACTAAGTAAACATATTTTAATATAAAAAAAAAAAAAAAAAAAAAAAAAAAAAAAAAAAAAAAAACAATACATGCAAGAAGGCTGTTGTTATTCGCAATCGAGCTAAATCTATATGACTTTTTAAGCCGAGTAGCCATTCTGCATCTGTTTTTCCAAGAAATGTTGTTTTTATGAGTAAAGCTAATTAAACCATCGGCAACAGCTTGGTATGATTGTTCATTGAGTGCTTATTCACATTTTAATAATTATTTCATAAACGCGTAGGCTCAATAAATTTTCTTTGAGTTCTTAAGTTTTCAGTTATCTTTTCACAAAAGTTTTATCAACTTTTTATTTCACGGCAATCGATTCATACTATGCAATAAGTGTCGTTGATCGCTACAAATTCTTAAGTTGTGATATCAATATAGAACAGCTCGGCGCCAGCTGTTGAAAAGTTGTCAAAACTCAAACGAATGTAGAAAAGCGTTTCTCGACTGCAGTGAATCACACGAACCAACCTGTAATATACACCCGTTACAGGTGATTCGACCTACCGTCGGTAAAACGACTACCAAAATATCTCGCACTCCTTCCTCAACAAACAAAATATTCTTTAAAAAATTCACAGACGTCCATCCACAAACCCCTCACTAGTTCGACGCATCTTATCGCTCTTTGCGCTCTCGATAACGATCTCCCTCGATATACGGACAAATAGACCATCGATCAAAGCTCGAAATCTGTAGCCGATTTTTCGTATGGCATCGAATTTAGTGCTCACCCTGGCTTCGGCAAACTCGGACGATGGTGACCCCGGAGGAGCAATGCCACGCCGCCACTGGTGTTTGCCCGATCCAACAGCCAGGGTCATATTTCTGCTCGCGCCCCGTCCTGGAGACGCTTGCTTCCTGCTTCGAGTCAACTGTCCCCGGTGTCAGGTGTGGTGGCAGCCAGGTGTCCGGGCCCGTTGACGTCGAGGACCTCGCCGGTGTCTTCTCCACGGCGGGCCAGCCATCGGTCCGGGAATGCACCCAAAAACCACGCCCTTACAAGGTCAATGGGTACCCGCGACGTCCACCTGGACCATCGCCCACGTACGTCGAGGAGGCTGCATTGGCCTACTGCACGGACACCAGGTGGATGGCCTGTCCGGCTACGAGCTACTGTCCTCTGTACGAGTCGCAGCGCCCCATAGATTCCTGGCACGTGCTGCCCTGTGCCCAGGAGCTACTCCATGGCTATTGTACAGCCGACGACGACTACCTGTGCGTGGGCCCTCTTTCGTATACTCTCTATACGCTTGCGCGTCAGGTTGTTAACCGAGTGCTCCGAGACTGTTTCGGTAATCTGACAATGTACGCGTTGTGCCTGCACTCGATTACACTGTGACGTGTGCTCTGATTTTCGTATCTTGTGGCAAAAAAATCTTCCGTACTTTTGTATTTCACTTCGAGATGTTGAGTATTGATCGAATTGCTCTTATGTTTAGTGTTGCAGGTATATCGAGATGAATCAATTCAAGTGTAATTACACCTCTTTATTCGAACAAAAATAACTACTAATCTTGATTGATCACTCCAATCCTGAAGATGATAAATACTCTTGAGTAAGGCAGCTTCGGAAATTTACAAAAATGATATTAGAATCACGTACAGAAAATCAATGAAAAATGTCATTCGTTCGAAGCAGTCCCCTTACCTATTGTCCCGGGGTTTTTGGTGATTAGGTTCGCCAGGAGTATCGATTACCCCTCTGCTTATGATATGTTTTTTTATTCTTAATTTTTTGAACTTATAAATGTTCTAATGTCAATGCATGGATAATAAAAACTTTTTAGTTATTCATTGCAAAAGCAAAGACATAGGGAGATATGTATCTTAATCTCACCACAGTTGCATGTCTCTATAAAAATTGTTACAGAAAAGAATGCACCATTGCTTTATATGTTATTATTATTATTTTCCTTTGCTCTCGTGTCAACGCCTTAGCTATCTCACCAAATTTCAACAATTGGTACAACCGATCGAGACTAAGCGTGCGCGCATGCACAACATTAACCTTGTCGTGCTCTTTATTCGACCAAGTGAACTTTCATATACTTATCAATATAAATGAGCGTAACAACAAGTAAAAAATCACGTCCGCGCATCACTTATGCTCAAGTGCACTTGGACCTGTTCATTTTTCATACTTCCCCGTGAGCGCGCAAATGTAGTATCACTTTGTCAATCAAGTACATTTTTCGTGACGCACTTCATCTGATCTCCAAACTCTAGACCATTCTCGCTGACTATTTTTATTTTTCCAGAGCGCTGAAGTAAAAAAAAAAAAAAAAATACAAATTAATAAATTGAATAATAAAATACATTATTATTAT